CTGTTTGTGAAATCAAACCTCTCAAAAGATCTTTTATTATTGTATTTTTATAATTCTTAAAGTGGCTAGTACTTAATCAAGCTTATTGATAAACATATTCAAAATGATAGCAAATTGGAGATAATATTTAAAAATCTTTCTTTTATTTTTATTTAAAATTTTATCTCCAATTTGATTTTTAAATAAAATGATAGCAAATTGGAGATTTTTAAAATTAATGATATTTTTGATTGGTTTAGATCTTGAGAAATAAAAATATGTTTATAAATTTGAAGGTTTTTTGAGTTCTATGGTATATATATAGGTGAATATTGGATAGTGTATTGGTGTGCTAGTTGTAAATGTGTGTGAAAATTTTAAGGTCAATTGATTAGTTAGATCAAAGTGTATGAAGGTTTTTATGGATTGAGGTCTCAAAAATTGGAGTTTGAGGGTCAGTGAGTATTTCTAAGATCTTCAGCAATCTGTAAATTGGATTGAAAAGTTTTTTTTTTGTTTGTATAGATACTACACTTGATTTTTAATATTTTAAATGAAATTTGATAGCAATTTAATAATTCAAGAAAGAAATATTGGCACTAGAATTTTAGCATTCAAATTGGAGTAAGAGGTTGCTTAATATCCGATTGGATTATCTTATATTTCTTTCAATAAATAGGTGCAATTGATTTCATCTTTCTTGTGCTTGTTCTTTATTAAGAAATTAAAAAGTGAAAAAATATTGATTTGATATCAATGATTCAATCATTAGTTATTGAGGTTCTTTTTTGCTATAAGATTTATTAAGAATTTGTTTAAGATCTAGGTTTTGATTAGGATTTGATTAGGATTAGAATTTGCTTAGAATTCGGTTTAGAACTTGTCTAGGATTTATCTAGGATTTAGGAATTTATTAGGATTTTATTAAGGTTTGATCTAAGATTTTATTAAGGTTCAATTAGGATTTTAATTAGGATTTGACTTAGGATTTGACTTAGGATTTGACCTAAGATTTGGTTAAGATTTAATTAAGATTTTAATTAGGATTATGTTAAGTTTTTTATTTTTATTATTTAAAAAGAATTTTTTGTATTTCTTTTATAACTTCTTTTAAATTTATTTCAATAGATTAAAGTTTAATTGGATTATTAAGAATTATTTTAAGTTTATTTAAGGCTCTATTAGACTTAGTAGAATTATTTTTGTATTTTTACTTATCTTCTATAGCTAGATGCCTGATGCATTCTCAAAAAGGAATATAGGTAATACAACAATGTGAGAGCAAGAAGTAATGAGATTCAAATCAAAATCAAAACCAAAATTCAATTTCAATAGAATTGCCATCTACATTCTTAGGCAGTGTGTCAAACAAAAGACATGCTTGAGTACAAAAAATGGTTTGTATTTATAGATGATGATGATGGAGTATAAAGGTGGAGTGATATTGGATTAAATTAATAATCACATAGTTTGGAGGATGTAGCTTTAGCAAAGTTGAAATATTTCTTTAATAATTATATATATATATAAATTTTTTTTATTCAAATAATAAAAAATAATGATATATTATTATTATTATTATTAAGTCATCAAATAGATTTTATTTTATCTTGAATATGTGATTGACAAACTTGATTTGTAAAATTAATACATTAAAGGTTCATGTAAAGTAATAAAGATCAATCTTCAATAAAATTAGCTAATGACTAATATGTTGTAATATACATTGTGTCATTTCTTATTATTTTAGATTGCTAAAAACTTTGTCTATTAATTGTATCTTCTTAGAAGTAAGCAAAAAATTAATATTTTAAAAGATAAGATATTTTTTATTATTTCTTTAACAACAAATATCATTTACTCTCCTAACATATATTAGAATATTAAAGATGATATAAAAAAATTGAATGAATCCATTTAATAAATTAATCATCAATCTTTCTATCATTTTATATAGCTTTTTTAAGAACTATAATAAATATGTATTAAATAAAATTATATTTTTTCTATCTTTCTATCTAAATTAGTATTATATTTATTTTTTTTAAATAATTTAAATAATTATTTTATACAATGATATTATATTTGAAACAAAAATATTATTTTTTTTATTATAGAATTTTAATGCTATTATAGAAAGAAAAATCTAGTATATTTTGACATATCTATAATTTTTTGAAATATCTAGAAATACTTTCATTCTGTAATGCAAAGCTTGGTAATATGATTTAAAAAAAATAGAGAGCATGGTTTTTGAAATCTTTGAAGTTTTTTCAAGTTTTTTTTTTTTTTAATTCAAATCATAAATTTTACCCTTATTCTATCCTTTCTTTCATAAATTCTTTAACAAAAACTCAAATACAATGCATAGATATCTATAGTATAAAAAATAAAAACTTTTAGCACATGCATGTTGCAAGTACAAAGTACAACTTCAAAAAAGCACAAAAAAACTGTAATTATGCCTTCATTTCTATTAAGGACCAAATTTCACCTTTAATCACATTACATGCATGCAACAAACAACACATTGATAAAACCATCTACATTTAGTTAAACTCCAACATGACATATTTTATTAATCACGTTTAAATAATCATATTTGTAATGGTTACACCATACTTTAGTCCTTAACCATCATGGCATGCTTGCCTTATCCCTAAGATTTCATTTATGAATTGATAATCAACAATCCCAAAATTCTTCCTCTCCAAAACATAATATCCAATGACAATATTTTACAATAAGAACCACTGAAACTAATACCCTAATCATTAAATTCTACACAACTTATGTTGTAAGCAAAAATTTGTAATATCAATTCTATAAGTAATGCTCCAATTGATGTAATTGCACCAAAATTAAATTGTATATAGAAACATGGACATCAGCATCAAACAATAATTTAAAGGACTTTGAAACCTTAAACATCCAAATAATAAGAAAGAAAGAGAAAGAGAGAGAGAGAGAGAGAGAGAGAGGGAGGAAGAGAGAAGAGGAGGAAAGAGGGAGGAAGGAGGGATTTTTAAGATCTAGTATTAAGAAAGATTTGGCCCTTTGAATTAAAACCAAAAGAGTTGGAAGAACACCAAATTACCAAGATGCATGTCTTTCTTGTTGCTTTGATTTAAAGTGCCTTGTGAACTTTGTGAACCTTCTATGATTTCTTTTTAATCAATTGTAAAATGCATTGTGGACTCAAAACTTATAAATCATACATTGGTATAGCAAATTACAAACTACGATGGTTAAGCTTGAAATTTATAAAATTTTTCTTGACGCTTATATCTCGTCAACTAGTAAAATAGATTTGCACATGAAGATAACATATAAGTATACAATGCTTTGAAATACCTCTTTAATTTTGTACTTTCTATATAATTCAATTAACACAAAAAGTTATACGACTTGATTTTCACATTGCCTATATTAAAGAAGAATCATGTGCTCTAAGACTTGAGGAAGTTAGTAGCTTGTAAATTGCTTGATTTCTAACAAATACATTTGATCACAAAAATAAAAAAAAAAAACATAACAAAAATCAAAGAAAAGAAAGAATCAAATATGGGTACAACTTACTGTAAACAATGTGGTCAAGATTTCTACTATGAGAGCAAAAATGAGTAGGATGGCATTCACAAGGTAATGCATGGTGGTTTTTCTTATATATCTATGTTTATCTATCAATAAAAATCTATTCATTTATTCTAAAATCTCTTAATTAGAAAAAAAAAAACAAAAACAAAAACAAAAAAAACAATACATAGCAACAATAAGGATTGTTTGCACTAATCCAACAACAAAACACTCAACATTCTCTTATGAACTTTGCCATCAACATTGCTTTGCTTTGCTTCATTCACTGCAACTTAATTACTAAAATAAAGACTTGATCAGTACAAAATAAAACTAAGGAATGTGAGTAGTATGGCTTTGCCATTAATACAAAAGAGGGTAAGAAAATGCCTTGTAGAACTCCTCAATCAATTGTTAAATGCAGGAATGAACTATAAAATGGATTGTGAATTTCACAAAATATGAACCTTTTTGATGAAAACAAAGATCCATCCATGTCTTATTGAGTAATCTTAATACAATGGTGTTTGGTTAAGAGAAATTCCTTGGGACAAGGAAAAGCTTTTCTCTTAATTAAATATATTTCATAACCAAATACCTCATCATTTTTCACATCTTTGGAAGGTTATTATCAATAAAGCACAAGAAGTTGTAACATGTTATTGCTAACAGCAGCACTGCCTATCTCTAACTCAAATTCACAGTTTTATTTTTCTTTTGCATAATGGCAGCATTTACTAGAACAAAACTTCCAATATTTGCTTGAGTATCATCTTGCAATCTTTTCAATCGTTAGTATGGGCTTCCAAGTATAAGCTTAGACTACTAGCAGTTGGAAATAGTGGCATTTGCATAAACGAGCAGAAAGTTGCTATTAAAGAAATACGTTATATGTTGTGTTGGCCAAGGTGGTACTTGCTCATAATGAAGCATTGATCCTATTCAAACTTTTCTCTTACTGGTTCATGAAAAACATGGGCAAGTACAAAAAAAAATAAAAAAATAAAAAAAACGGGACAATGCTCTTATCCATTTTTTTCTCCTAAGCATTTTTCTCCTAATCAGATACCACTGTATATATATATATATATATATATATATATTTATATATAACAATCTAACTAAAAATAAAAATATAAGAAATTATTAATGCATTTATTATCATTATCATCATCATCATCATTATTTTCAACATCAATAAAATTAAAAAAATTCTAAAATAAAAATAATTATAATATAAATCCTAGAATAATCACAGAGAAAACTCACACCAGTCGTGAGAGGAAAGATGGTCCCGCTAGCCCCGTAGACTGGCATACGTTTACTTTTGCTTTTGCATCCTATAGTTTGGCTTTTCTCAAGTTTCGGGCAGGTGCGTTATTTGGGCAGGGGCAGCGAGAAAGAGAGAGAGAGAGGGAATAGATCTTCTTCACAGAGCTAGAGAAACAAACAGAAACAGAGACAGAAGTAGACGAAAGAAAGGAAGGAAGGAAAAGAGAGGGAGGAAGACGAGGAGGAGGAAGAGTGTGCCATCGCTCGAATTCAGTTCAGGAATCTCACGTTGTTTGCTGATTGTGGGTGGGTTCGGTGGGAGTGCATCGTTGTCTTCGTGATTGCAAGGCTCAGGAGGAGGATCTTTCAGGGACCAGGGTAGGGGAGGACGCAGCAGGGTCATCGATTGATTGGTAGGAGAGAGAACGAGAGATTAAGGGGGTTTGATTTATTGTAGTAGCTTCTAGTCCCCCCCACCCAATTTTTCACTATGTTTTCTAGGATATTCGGGAAGCCCAAGGAGGAGCCCTCCACTCTCAGTACGCTCGACAAGCTGAATGAGGTGCGGGAACGATTTGATGTGGATTTGGAACTGGGTTTGGCGTACAGTGAAGTATTGATTCCTGTTTCAGTGGGGCTGTTTGTTTTGTTTTGTTTTGTTTCCCGTTGTTGTTAGGGTTTGGGTGAATCGCGAGGTTGGGTTTGATTTTGACTTGTGCTTTGGGTTTGATGGTGAGGGTAGACCTTGGAGATGCTGGAGAAAAAGGAGAAAGTGTTGCAAAAGAAGATAGCTATGGAGATTGAGAAGGCGAAGGAGTTTACGAGGTTGAAGAATAAGAGAGGCAAGGGACTGCGGTCGCTATGTTGTGGTTAGAGTGGAGATGGTTCATTTAGGTCTAGCTCTGTCGGAGAGCTGGAAGTTTACGTGTTTACGGGTGCTCATGAGTGATGTCTATTTATTTATTTATTTTTTTTGTGATGGTTTGATCTGGCAGCTGCGATTCAGTGTTTAAAACGGAAGAAGCTGTATGAAGTCCAAGTAGAGCAACTCGGCAACTTCCAATTGCGTATTCATGATCAGGTCTGGGACTCTCGTTGATTTTGGTTGCTAATCCGGGTCCACATGTTGAGAATTGAATGAATTTGTAAAACTTTGCCAACCTCGGATTGTACGTGCCCATTCAATTTTGTGACTTTTGGCCTAATTACTCACTACAGTGTGTTGTTTTTGCGCGCAGATGATCATGTTAGAGGGTGCGAAAGCAACAACTGAAACCGTGGATGCTCTGCGTAGCGGTGCTTCAGCTATGAAGGCCATCCAGAAAGCCACGTACTATTTCTGTCCTCTCCTCCTTATCGCTCTTTGGAGCAGATTTGTTGGTATTGCTTTAATAGGGTATGGGTGATTGTGACGCCAGTCGTTAGAAGTTCATACGGGAGCTGATAGCCCTAACCTGATGATGGCGTGTACAGAAATATTGATGACGTGGACAAGACAATGGACGAGATCAACGAGCAGACTGAGAACATGAAGCAGATCCAGGAGGCACTTTCAACGCCTATTGGCACAGCAGCTGATATTGATGAGGTAATTGTGGAGGTCCAGTTTATTTTAGTTTGTTTTGTTGATTCATCTGAAGAGATCTCTCCCAGCAGAAATGTTAGCCGCTGGAAAATGGAAATACTCAAGTCCCGCCAAACTTTTGGTGCTTGGATCAAATCGTCATTAGTTTGGAAGAACTCTAGGGTGTATTATCATGATCTGCATCACCTGCAAAACCTTATCTATAAGAGAGTGGGAGGTTGGTTGCATATGCTACTTTGACACGCTTATGCAGTCATAGATCGTCTTTTGTGGGCTTCATTTTACTCACTTGTGGCCTGGACCTTGCAGGATGAGTTGGAAGCTGAACTTGAGGACCTCGAAGGGGCCGACTTGGAAGAACAGCTCATTCAGCCTTCTACTCACCAACTTCCCCAGGCTCAAACATATAGGCCTACCCCAGTCCCTGCTAAGAAACTTCCCACCAAGAACACTGAGGAGGAAGACGAACTTGCAGCCCTCCAAGCTGAAATGGCTCTTTAGAGACAAATCACCGGCGCCTCCCATCGCCTTATGAAGATTCAGATCTCCTCACAAGTATTTGTTCAGATTTGTATCAGTATTCCAACTTGATAAACAAGTGGGGGCCTTCTCTTTCGAACGCTCCATCTGAATGTGAAGATCACCGTGGGAACTGAATCGTCTTCCAACATCTGGGTGTTGTTCCGGATGGCACAATCCTCTTGGCGGGCACATTGGTATGTGCGTTTGCTCCCTACACTTCCTTTGTTGCTTGGAATGACGAGATGACATGCAGAAAGTTAATAAGGTTTTTTTGGCTAAGCCGCGTGGAAATAGGTTTTAGGTGTCATGAATTTGGCATAGGTGTCCATGTTTCTTTTCCTCCCTTTTGCGTTGTACACGATCAGCAATCGGACTGTTATCGACTGCTCTTGCTGTTGCCCTCCTCTTCCCCCATCAACCATTCTGTAGAACTGAAAACTGCGACATCGCTTTGTTTTTTTTGGCTGCTTGGACATACTGAGTCTGCATGAGATTCAGCGATTTACTGCATAATTCAGTGAGATAAATGTTGATGTTGAAAATTTTAATTGTATTTAGTATTTTTCACTCGTATATCACTCATTATATGTTTGTTTACATTTGGTATATGCGAATATGCGATTCATTTTGTGTCGATTCTTTTCTATAAACATTCACAGACTTTGAACACAAAAAATATTCTCGTACGCCAAATTCGAAAAATCACATGTTACATTCTTAGTAGATTAAAATAGTTACAGAAAGAATAGATCATTTATTTATTTTTTGCAAATAAATTAATAGCTTTCTTTTTCACAAAAATTGTAACTAAGTCAAATTTTGAATGCCATTCAGATGTACTGTGGAAGATCACAACGTAGATGGAAGATTTTCCAATCCAAGTAAAGATCTAATTTGTTCTCTTTGATGTAATTTCAATACGTTCAGTCCACTGCTTCAAGGGAAGCCATTAGAGAGAACGTATACAAAATAAATAAAAATATTAATAATCTTTGAAGCACTGCAGCCCACTCACTTGCATTCAATTTCCCCTGAACATCCACGCTACAAATACTGGTTTTCTCATGCTCATCTTCATAGTTAGTGATTTACGGAGGTATGATTCATGTGAGCAAGAGTAAGAACAAACAAGAATAACCTCTGAAGTGAAACATTTGATGGTAGTCAGATAATAAGTCGATACACATTATCCATTCGAACTCAATTCTTGTATTGACAAAATTGCAAGGCACGCCGAACTTGGCGTCAAGTACAAGCTGACTACTGAAGCAGAACGGACGCTCCAAATCTAGTCCCTAAAGATACAGTTGTATGAGCTCGTCACTGACTGCGGATGGGGTAAGCACTCCTAAGTCTGTGAACAAAAGCGTAAGATAATTCGGAGGTGTGTAGTCTCTGGCGGTATTTTCCACTTTAGCATCTTCTGGAACTGGCTCCACAAATTCCACATGACAAGGTGATGGACCCAAGTCTCTCTGTTCCAGTGGATAGAGTCTTGCGAACTGTGCAGACGAACAAGCATAGGCAGGCCTTAGATCGCCTAACATGTGAGAGATGACGGACACTTCTAAAGACAAACACATCGTATATCACTTTTGAAACAAGTAATTTCTTTTATAACCTGATGCACTGCTCCCTTACACTTCTACTTACAACCTCATATCCTCCACTTCTCTATGTATATCTCAAATATTTTTCAAATACCAAGCTTTGCAACAAAGCTACAACTACCCTCAGTCAAAAAACAAAGCCACAATGATTGAAAAAATGTACCTTATAGCTTTCTGCAGCAACATAGACAGGCTTGTTCATAGAACGTGCAACTAATGCAGATTGGAAGGTACCAATATAATTGATGATACCACCACTTTCAACAACACCTTCAGCACCAACCAATAACATGTCTACCTTCTCCATCATATAGCCTACACCAGAATCCAGGATTAAAGTAACCGGAATGCCAGCTGCTAGTAGCTCAATTGCCACCTTTGCACCTGTATTGTCAGGCCTTCCTTCTGTAGAGGCAACAAGCAAAAGAATATACAAATAAGAAATAGTTCCTACTTCAAAAGCATGAACCATAGGGTTAACATGAGTGTTACCATACAATGGCTACCAAATACAGAGAAACCTACAATCCCACAAGATTCGAGTCAATTTCATTGTGAAAGTTAATGAAAACTCCATCACGACGTTTTAAGCTATATGCGTATAGTTCTTGACTCGTAAATCTACTGCATGTACCCACACACACAACTTCGATAGTGTTGTTGGCACCTGTGCAAATGACGTTGAAATGTTTCCCATTTGATGCCGCCAGTTTCAGCAAGTTCAGCACCACTCTTGAAAATCCATGTGTCAGGATGGTCGATCCATTTAGAATAAAATCTTGTCCAAGCATTGCAATCGTTCGTCGAGCCTGCAGTTCTTTCAAAGTTTCAAACAATCTGGAACTAACTCAGGACTTGGAGCTATTCTCAATAAAGATCTAATGAATCATGATTTATATTCGGACAAGAAAAGAAGTACAATCAAGTACCAGGAAAATCAGGAATATACAGTACCTTCTGAGATATTTCACCAAACCTTTCCCCACGCTCAATTAAACGTGCTTTGCCAGCCCGAATGTCCTCATACTCTAGTGCAGTCGTTCGTGTGACATACCGCAAAAAAAGGTCGCAGCCTGCAGAGAGTGGTATAGAGGTTTCATCCCAAGCCTGATCACATATACACCCAACCAGACTGTCAAGACTTATCACAAATTTGGACCTGTAAGGTTAGTATTATCCAAACTATTCAGTAAACGCAACAGACTGTCGGCATTTAGACGCACCTTGAGGGCCTCTGAGGCGTTCTTGAGCTCAATCTCGAGACCCATCATAGTGGATGCCTGGCTGCGTCTGATAACAGCTGTCAGCGCCTTGATAGCTGCTACCGCTTCAGCAAGGTCAGGTTGCATACGCCAGTAATTGAACTCTTCGATTACGCTGAAGGAAGAATCACCATGGTCAGTAGCAGTAGGACGCGCCGGAGTTGTCAGTAAACTTGCGTCTTCAGCCTGAGTCCCCAATCATCACGCAATTGCCTCAGAAAGCATGAGAAAGGACAGCGCAACTTTCAAAAGACTCGGGTTACAACATAGTTACTTTAGCATGTGGTTGCATCCGCAATTGCCTTGCTTGGTTAAAGCAAAATAGAGAGCAGATTTGTTTGATCAAAACAGGAAAAAAAAATTTGCTCACTAACTAGAATAATCTTGCTCTGGTAAGACCTAATGGCAGTACCTCGCTGGATAACTTGTTCAACAAAGTTACTATCAACCATAACCAAATGTGTTGAACATATCTACATTATCTCGCCAGCACAAATGATTCCAATTCCATATCCTCTTGACCATTATGAAGCACACATGATGGAAAGGGCGCCACAACGAGATTCTTTGAACTCCGATTATTTTGCATCCGTCCAGCTTCTCACCTGTCTTAGCCATTCGAAGGTGACGCCTCCTGCAACCTTCGCAGATTCTCCTACATCCTCCACTGCCTTATCCGCCTTCATCTTGTTCTTAACGAGTTCAGATATGCACAGGGAGCCCAGAAGCTGTTCAACATCGTAGAAAATCGAATTTGTTTGAGACGATGGGAGACAAACAGCAAAAGAAACAGACGTGTAACGCATGCAGAGATCCCTTATTTCAAACAACTTTACCAACCCCAAGCCTGGAATCACGCGAATACATCCAACCCTACAACGCGATGTAGACAACGAAACTCACATAACTGTATACCTTCACTCGAATGACAAAATTCTAGGGCTAAGTTTCAGTATGTGCTATAATGGGCTATTGACGCCTGTTGAGCAAACGACAACAACCTCGAGGAAACACTCGCGTCCTCAAAATTGCTTATGTACACAGTCAATCCAAAATGAGCAAAATCGATAAGCGCACCGCTTGTTCTTCAATGTAACCCCTCACAACCGCTGACTGAAATTTTTTCACAATTCATGAGAGAAAGTGCGGCCATAGCAATTCGTGCTGCGAAAGAATCTAAGCATTCGCAGTAGTTACCACCATCAAAGACTTCGTTACCCACCAAAGATTCACAAGCTCTCCGCAAAAGATATCAATTACCCTTGACCACCACAAAGTCTTTGCACTTAAACCCTAACTCCATACTCATAAATTCAGTCTAGCACGAAACAGAACACCATTACGACGCCTGCAAATCAGACCGCATCTCAATATCTAATTCTTCTCACGAACTGTTTCCTCACACCATTTCTCTACCCACACCATTCCTTCCACCCGAATGCCTCCATCCCGAAACAATGTAAACAAAAACGACTGAGAACGCATCACCACATTAAATTCGCACACATACATGCCAGGAAAGCACAGGTTCAGGTGGGACAGGCTCCAAACCCTCAGCAATGAATCCTCCTTCGTGCTAAGTTGAATCCCCTAGGGCACCGTGCTCTCCACCTCCTAAGCTACGTCTCCAGTAGTGCGCATCAGCGCTTCAGGAGTAAAGAGCTGGAATGAATCTGTTTCGACCGGTGAAGAGAGAGCGGTGTAAACAGAGCTTTGGATGACCGAAGAAACTGCGGCCGTTCCTCAAACCCACGCCTGGAATCATTCCCTTGGGTTCTGTCTCCGAACAACGTCTTGCACACTCCCATTACGAAGCATATTCCATTGATTCTGTATGATGTTGCGCGGTACTGCTTCACAATACGATCAACATACGATTGTGTAAAGAGGATGGAATTCCGTGCAAGTTCCTTCCACTTCATGCCGATGTTCCTAGTGATGTTGTAGAGCACTTCACCGATGATGAAGAGAATGGCCGTGTATTTCTGGCGTTGAATCACTTGCCTGCACTGCTGTAGTTTCGCTGACAGGTTTTCCTGCAACTCCAAGTATTCGAAGCGATCGTTTCCTTCACATGACTTTATTGTGGATCTAGCCGCTATTTTCCTTCCCGATCTGAAATGGGTTCGCTTGCAAAACACCCTCGTGAAGGATATTTTTAGATTGTGTTTTTTTATTAAAGCTTCTAAAACCTTCAGATATTTCAGTCGTTCAGCATTGGAGGAATGAGAATGTGCTCAAATTTATGTCCCCATGTAAAAGACAAAGAAAAAGAAATCTCATCGGGTATGAGACTCTAGAGATGAGGAAGAGGGAACCATGGTATTCTGCATAACTGTAGGCTCCTGCTGAATCCTTAACACTGATGACGACGGACAGTTCTCTTCGGCGCTTGCAACGATCAAGAGCAGTCGAAGCTGCCTTTCGAGGGCTTCTGTATGTAAGAGCTTAATCCGCCAAACAATTTTGACTGTCGAAAACCTCCACCAATAAATCGTCTGGTTTTTTTGAATGATTGAGTTCAATGATTTTTCATACTGTCTCTTTTGGCCGCGCACTGGCACAATGGAAGTTGCCGCTTCCAGGCTGCGACAGCCGCTTCTGCCTCATCATGAAGGTTAGTACAGGGGCCTCATGACATTATCCTTGTTGTCACTTTTCAAGCCCCAAGCTCTCCGCAGTTACCGAATCTTCCATGACCACACTTTCCACTAGCGATTGGATACCTTGACCTACCGTCACAATTTTTTAAAATTTTCAGTCTGTTGATTTTGCAGAGCATATTTATCGTTAGCAGAATTTGTAAGAGGAGACGCTTACGAGTTTGAGATCCACTCAACAACGTTGTTTACAGATGGTATTGAACCTAACTGAGGATGTCTAATTCCTGACATACTGAAACGTTACAGGCTCTGAGCTTCTTTCTCGGGTGCTGTGATTTGGTACTTGTCAACGAAGCTTGTTCTGGTTTTTCGATCCTGATAGCTCTGAGGACGAGCTGGGATCTTTTGCAGTTTACAGCGTGTGAGCTCTTTACAGTTCAGGCAGGACAAGCATACCACTAAAATGTACGTCCTCCGAGAAAGTCCAATTTGTTATGTCAGGACAGCAGAGTAGAGAAGTTCAGAAGCGCATTTAGATGCCGAAATCGATCTCAAAGCCATAGATGCAGGTGTTTCAAATCCGTCATGAAGTAAAAGAGCTTCAAGCTCTGAAGCCGCAGTGAGGCGACGCTTCGCTGTGTATGAGGGTTCCGAACGTAGAGCACCTGAGAAAGTGACGAAATTGACAACGCTGCTGCAGATTTTAGGGTTGGTCTAGGGAGACTTCGGAAAATTGCACACGAATTGATTTATTCACCATTTTGCCCCATTATTCCTGTTACCAAACATCTCTCAGTGCTGCATTATTTGCATTGAGGACCTGGCACTGGAGACGACCATTATGTGAGCTCACTGTCGCTGGCATGGTGGAACTTTACGCTCACTTACAAGCTCACTCATTTATTTTACGTCTATCTTATGGAAGGAAAGTCTCATTTGAAAATGTCTCTGCATTGCGGCGTAGCCACATCTGTCACAAGTACTTATCTTCTAGATTAATACCTAACAGACAACAAAATCCTTACCTACGGAAAAGTCTCAAGCTCTCACAATCTAAGAGAGACTGGTTCTGCAAAATAACTTAATCTTCTCTTTGATCCTCCTGCTATCGGAATATCCGAAACGCACAACGATATCTGTGTGGGTCATTGACGGAATTGCAATACAAATCCCAGTCAAACTCTAAAAGTAGGAGTGAGACGCTCATGATAATTGTATTTAAGTCATCTTCTTCTCCTTCTTCTTCTTCTTCCTGTTTTTCTTTCTGTCAGATTTTCTTTAAGGAAAGCATTTTTGCAAAGTGACGCGGTAGTCCTTGCTGGGTCTAGGAATGTGGAAAAACCGGACAGTAATTGGGCTGGTAATTCCACGTGGGGCAAACAGCAGGCCCACTTTAAGATCGAATAGCTTCATACTAATATTGTTTCCTGTGCTCCATTGTCATTGTGGAGATGATAAAGCCTATTCGCAACGAATGCCGTTTGTATATTCATACGCGGGATACCCTCTAACAGAATGCTAAAGTCCCCGGAACTGGGCCCTGCTAGAAGGCAGATGTTTAGGAACCCGAGGGATCAGTGGCAGTTGTGCTTAGAATTTTGTCGTTTTCCTTAGGCCGCAATACCGTGTCACTCGCGAAATCAACGAGATGGCCTCGATCAGTGCTTGGCGTGCCTGAAGCTTTCTGTCAATGAACCAGCTTTTTGCGAGGAAGCTGACAGGAAGCCCATTCGGAAGGAAGTAGGATGCGTAGATCTTGAGTTTCTTTGATGGTTGGAAGAGGAGTGGGGGCGGGAACACAATTTTTCCTGAGATTTGCTTCTGAGGTTGGCGGGAGTAGCCCGTGGAAGTTGAAATAAAAAGGTTTGGTCGGCGACGGTGTGGGAGTTGTGCTCAGCAAGTAGATTTGCTCGTAGGAGGGTGGTGCATTATAGTTTTTGAAGTTGCAGGGATGGAGAGGTTTGCGCTTGGTGCAGGTTTGCAAGATTTCTGAACCTGCTTGAGTCACGCTGTGTGATTGGGGAGAGTGTCAGATGCGTGACTTGCTAGAACGCGATGCTAGATGCGCGTTCGCTCGTGTAGGTGTGAGGTTTCGCTGTAGCTGGTGAAGGGCGTGTTGGTTGGTTCGTGATCTGTGGTTTAGGAGTCATACATTTATATATTCATACATATTAGAGGATCCGATGTAGGTTGAATTCTATTTCAACCGGGTTGAAACCGAAAGGAACGCTGTGGACGGTGGATTCGAGGCAGGGATAGGGGTATTTTTGGGCGATGCATGGATTTCGATGTTTGCATTAGGGCTGGGATGTGGTCACGTGTTATAATGTCAAGGGGTGTCGAAATAGATTCAAGTAGTGTGTGTTGGAATGGATTTTGCGACAGGATGCTGGTTGTGGTAACAGCATATTCAGGCCTAAGTCGTCATCCTATGTTTCTCCAAGGCAATTTGCCTCCAGATGAGAATCTTAGGAGCCTGACGAAGTTCAGAATTCCTCGAAAACTTTGTAGCTGTGAATTGCTAATGCAGATTCCTGCTCGTAGAGGAGGATATCCCTTGGGTTTCTTGTAGTATTTTGATTTCGTTGCGAGACCTGCTGCTGGTCGGGCTATACTTACTGTATAATAAACTAAGTTTATCTCCCCGAATCTGATGTGCGCGAACTGTGCATTTCAAAGCTCCTCCGTCTACCGTAAACCTATTTCTTTATTATGACAGTTAAGGTGATAGTGGTGGTGAATTGCAGTTGCAACAATTCTCACACTCTTTCTCTGTTACGCTATTACTTAGCTTCTGCAAGCGCTTATGGCATCGAATAGCTGCTTGCAAAATTACTTGTCTACCACACGACCTTACGCGGGAAGCCTACGGAACGTACTTGGGAAATTGTCAGTTATGTTACAGGTCTTACCATGCTCAAGTATAGAATTTGATTAATACTGAATGAAGACTTGTGATTCTTGGTGAATCCGAGATTTCCAGCACTTACCAAAAAGAATGATGTTGAGTTGGAGGTCAATTCTCTACCAAGATTCATTCTGACATGTGTTCGTGCACCTTCATACAGGCTGCAGAAAACTCCAATCAGCTTGATGCGGATTTCGAGGCGTGTGTTCTGAGTTTTCTTTCTTTTTCTTTTTTTCTGGAGAGGGTACCTTTGATATATATATATATATATATATATATATATATCTATATATATACACAGTTGAATACATTGTTTTTAGAGGAGGTGGGGAGTAATTGGAGGCAATCGATCTCAAAACCAGACTAGCATCCTATCTCATGACCGACGCCCACACTGATTCAGGCTTGGGTTCTCCTTCAATGTAACCGAAGATGATGACGTCGAAGATACCAGTCGCGCAGCCAAGCAAAAAATCAACAAGAGTGCGAGCAGTGGATTGATTGGGTGTCTAAGGGCATGAGCCACGAGTGTGGTTTTCTTAGAACATTGTGGCCCCTACCTGGGCGGGAAGAAGCCAAACGCCTGAATCGGCCGCCCACCTGTGAAAATGGGTGAATGGATAACAGGAGCTGCCATCAATGTGGTGGGCAGCATATGCATTAACTTTGGGACTAATCTACTCAAGCTTGGGCACAATCAGGTAGGACTGATAAGCCTAATTTTGTCGCAGAATTGAGTCGTTTGATCCTTAAATCACATTTATTGTGCTTTATTGACCGAGCATTCACCCCTCAATGATTGGCCCATCTTCTGTGAAGATCCTTAGAATGTGGGAGTGATGCCCTTCCCGTTGAATTTTCGAAGCCGGCTTCTCTCTCAAACATGAAATACGCTGCAATTTTTTTGTAGATTTTACGGTTTACTACGTTTGAATGCTCCTGAACAGTGGTTTTCTTTTCATCTTAGAGGGAACGGCAAGCACTTGACACAGATGACTCTGAAGATAAGACATTCTCGAAAAAATCTGTAACGCAGTATCAATCATGGCGTATAGGTATGTTTCTTGCTATGCACCCAATTTCTTGCTTTACACTATCACGATTATTGACCCTGTATCAATGTACATTTCATTGAATATGTTAGTGACATCCTATGTCCGGATTATGGAGTCTTAAGGTCTTTTAGGTAGTGGCTGAAAGATATTGTATTATTCTGCAGGTGTGGCGATTTTTTCTTTTGGGAATATTTTGAATTTTATATCTTTCGGCTATGCTGCTCAGGTGATTCTTGCGCTCTTTGTGCTCGTGTGTTGATTTCAAGCCACGTTATTTTCTGGGCTATATTGACTCGTTCCTCTTGGCTTATTCGGTATCACACATATATATCTGCAGTGCTATCAGTTGTATTCTGAGGACGTATTCCCATACTTTTTTTATTATTTATATTTTGATAGTTCTTATTCTCGTCAGTCGTATAGTTTCAATTTTGACTTTTAACTGTAACCACTATCCTCATCGTTTAACTTTACTGTGTGTTTGCAGTCATTACTGGCAGCTTTGGGCTCAATACAATTCGTTTCCAATGTTTTCTTTGCATATCTGATGCTCAATGAGGTTGTGACTAGGCGGTGAGCAACCCATTATGTTATTCATCCATATATCAGTTATGCTTTTGTAGAACATGTCGATGATCAAACAACTTATTGTAGAGGATTATGTAGTACGTGTTGAGGATCTCTGGCCTTCAGCTGGTTCCAGGAGTTTTCTGTTTTCGTGTTAGTCACAGGTTTAGTCTATGAATGAATGCATGAGCGTCGTGTCTTCTCATTAGCTTTTCTTGAGGTCATTGCTATTCTGATTGTCCGTGCAGTAGTTGTTATTATGTGGTGGTTCTTTTTTGATCACTTAAAGGTAGTCGTTAAAAAAATTGCCTTTATTTTGAGTAGTTGTGTTTGTGTTTGGATTGCAGAATTGTTTTGGCAACGTCGTTCATCGTAGTCGGGAATGGCTTCCTGGTTGCGTTTGGAAATCATCAGTCCGTTAGTAAGCTCCTTCTCTTTTGTTTCAACTTTTGTTTCTGCATGTGAGGCCTGTCGACCAATTCTTGTGCCTGATGATTTTGCTGTAGACCAACCTGTTGAAGTTGCTTTTGGCAGTTTACACATCTGAGCAGCTTTTGAGAAATTATGGGGGGCGCGTTTATCTCACTTATTGCTTCATTCTTCTATGTATTGTCGCTGTGCATCACGCCATATACAGGTCTATAATTTGACCTTTAGAGCTATCGCGCTTGTACAAGAAGCTGTATTATTTGCGGCAGCCTATTTCTGGGATAGAAGTTTATGCACAGTTTTACTGTGGTGTGGAAAGGAAGATATTATTTTTTTGCCAACGTTTTCCTGATTTCTGCATTCCTAGGGGATACTCACAGGAAACTCGAGGATATTGCTGTTACCACACCACATGCTCATCGATGTTGGCTTATTTTGCCTTCCTACTTGGAAGTTCTAGAACTCATATCTTAATTTTAAAGCTTGGGGTATGACAGACGGGGAAGGCAACTCACTGTATCGCGTGGTGAGGATCCTGGCAGTGTATGGCGCATGTTGTTACCATATACATATGCTGTTGTCTCGGGTGCTGTTGGCTCCCATTCTGTCTTATTTGCGAAATCTCTGTAAGACTGTGATTCTTCATTACTTAACTGACATATTCTTGAAGATATGATTTGCTGCTTTTCCAATGGTCTTAAGTAGAGTCTATTTTATTGTTTGTAGTTGTTGTAGTCCAGATACACTTAATTCAGAATGCACATCTAGAATTTTGGGCGATACCATAGCTGGAAAAATACATGGTTAATATCTGTAATTTTCGTCCTTTAAGATGTTCCAACTTCCTCTAGTTGCTTCGTGTTGAAGGAACTCTGTTGGTGGCCTTCGTCTGTTATCACAAACTGAGAGTATTGATGCATGTTATTTCGAATTGCAGGTCAGTTCTGCTTCGATCGACATTAGAGGGTGAAAACCAGCTGGATGGTTTGTTCACATATCTTGTTTTTTTCTTATTTGCGGGAACAGCTTCGTTTTGGGTAAGTGGCTTGTGTAGATTCAACTTGATTTAGATCCTTGAATCCAAGACTTCGCTTACGCACTTAACTTACTGATGCAATCAACATGGTTGCATTGTGTTGTTGATTGTAGTTTGGTTATTACCTTTGGTTGAACAAGCGTACAAATCATACAATTGAATCAAAATTAAGTATCATATTATATCGAGCAGTATGGTCAGTAAATTTCTTAATGCTACAATCACATAATGTGGCTGTTATTCAAGTACTGGATTTGGTTGTGAGCTTTAGTATGTGTTTACAATATTTGCTCCTCTGGCAATCAAGCGTGAAGCTAAAAGTTAGCCAAGGGATTAGAAGGCAAATAGATTTTCATATTCTTAAATAAATTTTAGACTGCATGAGGCTACATGATTTCCTATTTCTACCCCGCAAGGACTCCCTAATACTCCTTATTGTAAGTCGTTTGCAATTGTATACATGAAAAGTTGCGTGCCACAAAGTGACCTTTCTTGGCTTTTGTAGATGGCCAGGCTTAATGATGGATTAGCGTTATTTGATGCCATTTTAATCGTACCCATGCTTCAAATCGTGTGGACTTTCTTCTCCATATTTACGGGTTTCATTTATTTCGAAGAATATCGGGTTAGTGAGCCAATCCTCTTCTCTAGACATAGATCTTCGTTTTATGTTTCGATTCACATAAAGCCTTTTCTTTTACTCCAAAGATCTGTGTATGAGTAAGATGTGGCACATAAATGAACTTTTGGACTTTGATATTATTGACACTGAAGGTGAACTTGAAGAGTCAAACACAAGTACAAATTTCAATGTATATGATTTGATTAGAATCTAGTTGCGTTTAAAGTTGACTTCAAGATTTCAGGTGAACAGTAATGAAGTATCTGATCCTTTGGCAGGTATTCGGCCGATTTCGAGCTGCAATGTTTGGCGTTGGTGTTCTGGCTCTCTTTGTCGGCATGTCGCTCCTTGCTCCTCAGGCTCCCCAGCTTGGTTCTAAAGGTTTCCTTCAGCTCCCAGTGCATGGCCATAGACGAAAGAAAAGTCGGACCCGCGTTGAAGCTAACATGAATTCTCCCCATTGGGTCACTCTTTGGCGCCATAGACTCTTAAAACTTTTAGGCAATCGCGATGAAGACATTCTAGATAGAAATCCATTTCTTCCTTTGTGGACTAACATAGGGATTCACATGCTGGACAGCTGGACAGTGGAGTTGCCTCCCTAGAGCCGAGTCGGTCAGAGTTTCTTCGTAGTGTTAGTGATTGTGATTGAATTTCAAACAAGATAAAAGCTCTTCATGGGGTCCCAAAACCAAAGCCAACTCAGATATTGTTTAGGGCAGCTTATGAATAGGTCCCTTGAGCTCCTATCTAGTCTGAATAACTTCCTCTTAGGTTTTATCAGAGCTATGCTCGTAGTGGTATTCCGTTAATACCTGCCGCGAGGAAGTATAGAGTACCTTCATTTTGGGACTAGTGATGTAAGATACCAGTAGAGTTTATGCTGTATTTTTCAAAATGCACCAGTCAATACATGTATTGTTCACAATGTGGCCTCTGGTCTCCAATTTGTATTTGCATTTGACCTTTTAGTTTTTTTGATTTTTTTGTTTTGTGTTTTTGTTTCTCCCTTCTAGCGGATCCTTCAGGTTCTAGTACGAAAACGGAGAACGAGAGTGAGACTGAACTTGCGCCACTGATTTCCAATGCGTAAGCATTTTCTCCAGTCAATTAATAGCATATGGTTGTTATCTTATTATAGTACAGTCCACTGAAATTTTGCAACATTCATTCCAATGGAGAAGTTGACTTGAGTATTATGCTTCTTCAACAATTCTTTCGACGCAGATAACATTGTATTGTTCCTGACGTTCTAGAATTCTACGAGGAATGACGTACTGGTTTCTCCTGTCAATACTTGTATTCATGCGACAGCCCTTCAGATAACCGAGAGCCTAGGAGAATTTCGGTGCAACCCATGCATACAGACACAGCTGCAGTTGTGGGTCAAGCTAAGGTATATTCTTGTTACTCTCCACATTTCCTAACTGTAACGACACTCAATGCCTATCTCTCCAGTGGTGGCATGAAAAGCTTCGGAAATGTGTAAATAAGGTGTAGGAACTGCTTCTGTTATGTGTTCAGTGGCTGTTAAATGTTACATGGGTTTTACACTTTGCGGGGTGATAAAGATTGGTTCTCATCAGTCTCGTCAAAAGCTTGGTGGATTTGTATCCACTTTATACGCATGGTTGTAGAAGTTTCCCAACGCCGGGCTGGAGTTACAGCCTTCAGATATCTTTCCAGTGTAGAGGGTGCTAAATGGGTGCATGTTGCTTGGAATGTGAAGTCTGCTGCCAGGATGACGGTAGGACTTGGCCAAGACGGCATTCATGCATCATTCATATTCTCGATGCCTATGATAGCCTCTGCACGCTCTCCATGGCGGCCACCTACGTTAAATCCCGAGTGGTGGACCAACCTTCCTGATCCTCGTGATGTCGAAGATCCCAAGAGGGCTAAAATTCGACCGGACAACTTGTAACGTAAACTTGAAACCCTGCTAGTATCCTCTTGCGGTTTCAGTCAATCCTACTCTCCTGATTGTAGTTTGTCATAAAGCTGTATTGTTTTCAACAATTCTATATGCGTTCTGCCTTCCTCGCATCGCATCAGACTACAGCCATTCTGTTAGGTCTACAATGAGGAGCCTGTTACCTCTGCATACATAGTTATTTTTTTCTTCTCCTTTTATTTTTATTTTTATTTTTTTTCTCTTTTTAGAGAACTATTTTTAGAACATGATATTTTCAAGCAGCAACTATAAGTAGCTATGAGCACTTTCATAGTCGTGAACGGCAACCTTCATTGCCCCCCTTAGTATGGAATTCATCCGTGCATGCGAAGCTATCTTGAGATACAGTATCATTCTTCTGATCCTGTTCACATTTCCTTCGCTTCTAGAGAATCAAATATTACGGTTACAAGGCATTTGAGAGACTGCATCTCTTTGTTAAGCCCAAGTATATAGGTTGCATTGTGTTTTAAATCTTCTCTGCTTTTGTGATCTTAGCAAAACACATTTAGTTGGATTTAAAGGTTATTGTTGCTTTCATGTAAGCAAAGTATTCAGTGACCCAAAGTAATGTGGATTTTCCCACAAAAAATAAATTTAAATACTAGTATTGTACATATTATTATATTTGTGTTGTGTTATTGTAAACTTTTTGTGCATTGTTTTGTATATATATCTAATTCAAAATTGTTGCCTAATAATTGTATGCAAATTTTTGAGTTTATGTTAAAAAGAAAATAAAATTTAAGTATAAATCCATTTTATCATCTATCAAGTCATATTCATTTTCATCATTTTTTAATTATTATTTGATGTTTTTTTTGTACTCTATAATCATTTGTAAATTAAAATTCTATAAATGATTAATTTTTTATTTATTATTTGATGTTTTTTAATCATTTATAGAAGGATTGGATTGTTTATGAATTTTAAAAAATACATATTAAAATTTCAAAACTTAGAGACTATTATTTAAGTAAATCCAATTAATATTAAATTTAAGATTGTTGTGGCTTATTCAATAGATGTTGTATATTATACTAGAGTTATGTATGATATGTAATTTATTTATTTATTTTATGATCTAATTAAAAAATTATATAACATTTTTGGCTTTAAATGGTTGTTATAAATATACATATTTACTTTAATAGTTATTTAGGTAATATGAGTAGGTAGAAATAGATAAAAGTAGATTAATTTCATAATATCTTTTAGAAAAGCTTGTTTATTTGTCTTCATCGAGTTCTTGTTGTTGACAAATTGATAAGAATATACTTCTAATATCAGAGCTTTGTTTCTTCTTGATTAAGACATAAACATATTAGAGGTTGTGGATTATCTATTTTTAAATTAATATTATTTTTAGATTTTTTTTTGTTCTCTAATCCTTTCTTCTGCTTATTTTAAGAAATATTAGACATCTAATTTTTATTGTATAATCATGGCGGAGCATGTTGAAATGAAAAATACAATGATATAAATGCAAGAGCAATTGAGGGAGTTAATGCTTACTATGCATTAGTTCAATTCATCATCACAAGAAGCAACAAGATTGGCAAGTAGTGAAGATATAGAGATGATTGATGTTGCTTCAAAATCTACACTAAATTATACTACTCTTCTTATGGTAGAATATTGTGCAAGCATTAAAAAACCAAGAATTGCTTTATCCAAGAAGTTTGATGGCATAAGATCAAAACTTTGAGGATTTATCAATCAAATATAACTGGTAGTTAAACTTCAACTTCAAAGCTATCCAACTTCAAAATCACAAGTCAAGTTTATTGGTATACTTCTTTCAAGTTTTGTGATATCATGATTTTCATCTTTTCTTGAATGATGTGATCCAATATTAGATAATTTGGAAGCTTTCTTGGAGGAATTTCAATCCATGTATGAAAAATATGATGCAATTTGTATTGCAACAAACAAGATCTGTATTTTATAATAAGGCAATATATTTGTAATATTATATCCTTCAAAATTTTAACAACTTGCAACTTATATCAAGTAGAATGATTCTGTACTTATTAATCAATTTTTTTGATAATATGAGGTAAAGAAATTGAAGCTCAATTTATTTGATTTTCAAATATTAAGTCAAGTATTTGACTTTGCTATAAAGTGTGATAACCAATTCTTTGAATTTTGATCTAAAAATTATATAAGTAGGTGAATTGTAATAACATTGAATTATAATAACATTGATCTAATAAAGGTCTTATTTTCTCCCTAGAAACTTTTCCTTATTTTATAATAGATGTTAGTTTATGAAATAAATATCATAAAGCATGTGTCTTGCTAAATTCAAGAGTCTCAACTTGTTTCTTAAATAAAGAGTTTTTTAAAAAACATATCATATATTTAGTGAAGAAAAAAAAATATGTTCATGTAGAAGTCATAGATGGTCATTTTTTTTGTCTTCTAGAGATGTTACTCATGAAATCTTTTCTATAGAAGTAACAATTAATGGTCTTAGTAGCATTGTAATATTTAATATTATTAGATCTCCCTCTAATCCAATCATTTTAGGTTTATTGAACATAAAAAAGTATAATTCTCAAACAGATTGGTTTTCTCATAGACTTGACTTTTTTAAAGAAAAATCAAGAATATTATTAATTAAGAAGAAAGTCATAAGTCAAGTACAAACAAATTTGTATTTATAGATATAAGAGCATTTTTACATGTTGCAAAAGAAAGAATATTTTTTGTTATTTATGCCACATTTTTTTTAATACTAAAAAGACTTCAAGTAACATTTCAAGCCAATATTAAGATTTTAAAAACAATTTAAAAAGAAGAATGCACATATTCTTTCCAAACATTGTTTCTATGACTATTCAATTAACCTTTAAGAAGGAGCTCAACTAACATTTGAATCAATCTATAAATTATTATAAAATGACTTGGCTAGACTTAAAGAATATATTAAAGAGAATCTGACCAAGAATTTCATATATCATTCCAAATTTTCAGTAGAAGCTCCAATCTTATTTTTAAAAAGTTAAAATAAATAAATAAATAAATAAATAAAAATGATCATTATAGATGAGTGTTAATTATCAAGGACTCAATAAGATTATTATCAAAAATAAGTACGTTCTACTCTTGATATCAAGACTTCTTGATCAATTGAATTAAGCTAAGATTTATACAAAAATATATCTATAAGAAGCATATAATTTGGTATACATAAAAAAAAAAAATGAATAGAAGATTGTGTTTTAAACTAAGTATAGATATTTTGAATACAATATCATGCCTTTTAGACTTATAAATGCACCAATAGCTTTTCAACATCTAATGAATGATGTTTTTTTGGAGATTTTTGGATAATTTTATTGTCTATTATTTATACAACATCTTAATCTACTCTACAGAAGAATATGAACTTCATGTTTATTAAGTATTATAAAAATTAAAAGATATATAGCTCTATATCAAGATAGAAAAATATATATTTCATACTACTCAAGTCAATTTTTTAGCATACATCATTTCAAATTATGTTACATTATCATAAATAGATTATGATAAATTTTACTTAATAACTTTTTATTTAATTTTTTTTTCAATAACCAAGATCAATTACAAGATTAACAACAAAAAACTTCTTATAATTATGAATTTATTTCAAGAATAGCACCATTATTTAGAAGGCATTTTTAGTCTAGTCATTAAATATAAAAATTATAAGAAATTTAAATACTTTATGTTAGTATGTATTTTGAATTATTGCTAAGCTTATTGGAACATATCTTTATCAAGATTCAAATTCAAGATCACTTATTGGCAAAGAAAACAATAAGGTTTATCAGATGTTATCTTTAAGCAATATCATCTTGATCCAAAAAGAAGAAATATGGCTATGAATCAATAACAAACAATTCTCTTGAAGCTAGAGGAATTTCATCTTTAAACAATGAAATCAATACTAATTGTTGATTCAATTTTTTTCAAGTAAGTTTAATCAAGTATATTTTCTAATCTTTTTATTTGTGATATTAAGATTGTTTTTTTGAAAATCTTATGATATTTCCAAGTTTAAATTCCAAAAGAATCTATTATATTTTGAAGGTCATTTATATGTTCCAAAAAATAAAGTACAATTATGTATTTTTAAAGCTTGTCATAACTTTTAAAAAAAAAAGATATTTTAGATACAATAAGAATTTAGAGCTAATATCTAAAGATTTTTAATAGACGCAAATGTGGAAGAAAATTCAAGATTTTTTATAATCATACAATATTTGTTTAAGATAAAAAAAATTCCTTTTCATTGATTTTAAGGACTTCTTTAGCCATTATCTATTCTCAAACAACCATGGTCTTTTGTTTCCATGGATTTTATTATGGATCTTCTAGTCTCAAGTTTATATAAATCTATATTTATAATAACATATTATTTCATCAAAATGGAGCATTTTGTGCTATGTAAAAAATCTATCATAAGTGAAGAAACAACTAAGCTTTTCATTGACAATATCTATTGCTATCATAGATTTTTTAAGGATATTATATCAAATAGGAGGATTTAATTTGTATCAAGATTTAAAGATAGACTTAAAAATATCTTTTATTTTTCATCTTCAAATTAATGAACAAATAGAATGTATAAATCAAGTTTTGAAATAATATTTTAGGTGTATCAGCAACTATCAATAAATGATTGAACAACTCTTTTACTATTTGCAAAGTTTGCTTATAATAACACAACACATTTTTCTATTCAATAAATATATTTTTTTACTAATTATAATTATCATCTATGATTTTAAATTTTAAAATTTGATAATTTTATAATAAAATATTTAAAAAATAATTTATCTAAAATATATACAATAATAAAGGCATAACTAAAAGAAGCTCAAGAATGACAAAAGATCAATATGGATGCTTATTGCAAAAAATAACTTCAATTTTGCATTGGCAATAAGGCATGATTACTTTGGCATAATATCAAGACTATTTATTTTTATGACAAGTTAGATTATTATAGACTTGGACTATTTTTTATTAGTAATCAAGTCAATCTAATTGCTTATTAATTATATCTATCAAAATCTATGAATATCCATCTCATCTTTCATATATCTTTTTTTAAGCCATATAAGATAATAAATATCTCAAGAAGAAGATAAATATCATCACCTCTTGTAGAAATAGATAATAATAAAGAATTTGAGGTAGAAGAAGTCTTAAATTCAAGGAAATGCCAAAATAGGTTAGAATATCTTGTTCATTTGCATGGATATAATATTAATAAATATATATGGAACCCAATAAAAAATCATACAAATACAATAGAAAAGGTTAAAACTTTTCATCAATAACATCAATCAAAATCAAGATAAAAATTCAAGCAATTTCCTACTACAAAACAAAAAATATTTAATAGAAATTCTATTCTATCTTCTACCCTTTATTGTGAGTTTTTTGTATTTTGTAACGATAACAAGATAGAGAATCTACAACCAACAAATTTAACTCAAGAGCCATTGTATGATGAATTATTGGATAAGTTATTATAATTGTCACAACCTTCAAGATAATGTAATTGAAATGAAGATCCTTAAGAATGACATGTTTTTTTTTAAACAGATGGCAAGAT